AGGGAGGGAGGGAGGAAGGAAGGGAGGGAGGGAGGAAAGCTTTGAACGGCACTGGGGACCGCTCTGGATGCTGTGGGTGGAGATGTGAACATGGGTGCTGGAGCTGGCCAGAGACTCCCCTAATGTTTCTGTGGGTGACCCATTCAAGATGATGCCACCTTGTGACCACAGCTAGGATCACAAATTGCTTTCTTTCCTCTGGCCTCTTGCCACCTTTTTGCTTTTTTCCTTCTTGCTGAAACCCAAAGGCTGAGATATTTGCTTGCCCAGTTGCACATGCTTACATGTCTTTCTTGCTCACCAGAACCTTCCTGTCTGCCCACAATCCTCCTTTCCCAGGCCAGATTTTTTTTTACTGCCCTGGCATGGGAGCCACTCCTGACTCCATACCTTCTGTAGATTTCATTACCACCTTAGGTGCTCATCCCCCTGAGCATCAGTACCCTGTATACAAGGTCCCCGAACTTCAGTGAAGCAGGCAGCTGCTGAGACCTTGTACCTCCCTCCAGAGGCGGTGGGCCATCTGGGAGAGGGACACAGACGTGCACCCCAATCAGATCAGCATTTTAGTTAGTAATTCAGCTCAACAACCTGAACCTTCACATCCCTCCTCCTCCCTTCCGATCCCTTTCTACCAACCATTAAGTGATCCGATTCTCCATTTCAGCCTTTCCTCTGCACAGAGTTACTTTGCGGGCCTGGGTTCTGAATTCTGATGACTGCTCACCAGACCATTCCGCCGACCTTGAGGGAAAATGGTTTATTCATCTTGTAAATAACCGGTGACTCTCAGTGGAATAACCTGCCAGCAAGTGGAGGGGTGCCTGTCTCGATACCAAATGGAAGATGTCTGCTTTCCATTCCCCGAGGGAGGGGAGCTGGCAGCTCTTCGCTCTCTTGTGACCAGCCCCCCGATGTCCGCATTCATCAGAGCAGGATCGGACGGAGGCCCAGACAAATGCCTCCAGGCCTGGCTCTTTTCTGAAGGTGTCCAGGACCGCATTTTGAATTCTCCCTGACAAGTGTCGAGAAACGCATCCTGACCTAGGCCTCGCTGCACCTCCGAGCTCATGTGTTCCGTGGCTCAGGGGGTGTGGATCTGGGGCTCCTGAGCCCGGTCAGCCTGCTCTCTCTGCAAGTCTGCAGATGTCCAGCTTGTGTCTTCCTATCCTTGTGCACCCCCCTCCCCCTCCCCCCACCAGGGCTGTTTCCCCAGCCATTGTCTGGGTTCAAGACCACGTCAGTCCTGAAGGGCGTTGTGTATCCAGCCCGCAATTGTTTCCTGAGTCACCAACATGCGGCAGGCAGTGTTCTGGGCCCCCGGGCAACGCAGTGCACAAGAGCGGAGCCAGGCCCTGTTTCTGGGAGGCTGGCACCCCAGTTCGGGCAGACGGGCAGGCAGGGACCAAATGCATCTGTCAGCGGTGTATCCAGCAGCGGCACAAAGAAAGCGAGAGCTGGCGACAGGGCGGTTTGGGTTGGGCTGGCCAGAGACCGCGTGGACAAGAGGGGCTTGGAGCAGAGACCGCGTGGATGCCTGGGGAGCCCGTGTGCCGGGCAGGAGCAAGAGCGGGCAGAAGACGTGGAGGTGGGAGTGTTGAGCTTGGGGTGGGGGGGACGTTGAGCTTGGCACGTTCTTCCTGGAGGAGGGCACTGGCGTGGCTGGACAAGGGAGAGAGTTTGAGGAAATGAGCCGTGCAGGGAGCAGGAATGCAGTTCTGGAAAGGAGGGGAGGGCCTCCCAGTGTGCTCTGAGAAGTGTTGCACTGTGAAGCCGACCTGAGTTCTGTTCTAAGAATGTGGTTCTGGTGACCTTGGGGGGATGGCGGGAAAGGGGAAGCGTAGGGTCAGGCGTGAGGGAGGATGGTCCAGGAGGCCCCCAGGCTGGCGCGGAGGTGACAGTGGAGGCGGGCCCGCGGTGGTGTGGCCATGGTGAGCTCTGGGAACAGACTGGCCCCTCGCTCCGTCCTTCCTGCTGCTTCCAGAGCCAGCACAAACCGGACCCCGTGGTGTCCTTACTCAGCATCTTTGGCCCCTCGGGCGGCTCCCCTTGGTGCAGGGCACGGACGCTCTTCCTGACCCCTGCTGACCTCGTTTGCCACTCCCCCGCCCTGTAGCCTTCCGTCAAGATCACATCAAGGCTCTGCCGAGGCCCTGCTCCCACTTGCCTGCTCTGTCCCCTGCACTGAATGTGTGTCCCACTGGGATACTCTAATGTCCCCCTTCAGTGCTACCTCAGCACCTCCTCCAGGAAGTCCTCCCAAGACCTTGCGGCAGACCTACAAGTTCCGGGTGCCCTGTGCACCTGTGCTTATCAGGAGTGTTTAGTCCCAGGGGCTCAGGTAGGCCTTCCTGCGAAACTGCGAGCTCTTGAGGCGTTGGCCGAGCCCCGGCAGGACCCGCGGGTCTGGCACGGAGCAGCGGGAGCGTGCGGATGAATACACAGGAAACTGCCGCAGACCTGGATCTCGGCCTCGATCCCAGCGGGCTAAGTCGAGGTTGGGAGACTGGTTTTAGGACTTGAAGCTCCTGAAAGAACATTCCCTCCCAGCTCACCCAGACTTCTGTGCAACCGTAAAATCCTAGAGCCTGAACAGAGCTGCGTCCCTGAGCCCGCAACAGCCCCCTGGAGGCACTGACTCACCATGTGACCCACAGCCCTGGGGGAGGGGCCACTTCTGGGAGGTGGGGGCTGGGGAGACGGTATCCTGGGCTTCGCAGGCACTGAGGGCTCATGGAACACGGGGAGGAGGGAGAGCAGGCAGGGGGGTGGGGGCGGGGGCCACCACTGGGGCTGGCCTGGGCACAGACCAAGGCAAGGACGAGGCCTTACCTGGTGTTCTGACTTCCTGAGGGAAACTAAGGAGGAAAACGGAAAGTCCGCGGTTCCATCATTCAGATGCCCGCTTACATAATATATACCCTGTGTCCTATGCAGTAAACCAACCAGAACACCCCTTACCCCTATACACAGGGCTAGACTCCCAGGTTTAACGAGGCAGGTCAGCCCCCCAAGATGACCCACTGGGGTCGTGACAACAGCCTGGACTGTAACAGCAGCCAATCAGAAAAGGCCGTAATGACCTACCTGTCCGTGTGTCCGTTTCACCCTTCCTGTGGACATTCCATAGCTGTGGGCACATCAGGGTGACCGTCCACATGCGGATACAGGATGCGCCAGAGTCAGCTGCTCAGGGGAAACCAGCAGTTACCAGCAGATTGAGTGATCTGCTACAGTTATGGTTCATAAAGAGAAAGAAGGGGAGGAACAAGGGAACATGTGCACACGTGTGTGGGCACTCGTGAGTGCGTGCATGTGTGTGTGTTGCTTGTCTACACACAAAATGCCTCTGCAAAGATGAGCCAACATCTGGTGGGATTAGCTGCTTTCAAGGAAAGGAACGGAGTGGCCGATGTCAGGATAAGGAGATCCTTCTGAAGGGTCCCTTTCTGTACCTTGTAACCTTGGGGCCGTGTGTTACCAAAGCCATCTACGTTGCAGAGCTGGGATCCAGTGCTGAGCCTCCGTGACCCCAGAGCCTGAGTCTTCTGCCCCAATCCCAAACCACTTCTCTCTGGAGGCCATCCCGCCAGGTGGGGGGTTTGAGAAATCCAGATGGAGATGTCCTCTGAGACGTTACTGCATTGGTTCTGGGCATTACCTGCCTGCTGTTAATTTCGGCTTCTTCTTTTGTCCTCAGGGGAAGAAAGGAGAAGTGGGCCCGCCGGGAACCCCTGGATTGCTGGGGCCGCAGGTAACTACCGCCTTTGCCCTCTGGTCCCTAGCAGTCCTGCTTCCTCTGGTTGAAGAAGCAATTGGGCGGCAGTTCCGAGGTTGGTCACCACAGTCTTGGATGGTCACCTCATCAGAGAGAACGTTTGGTGGGTCCTGGGTCCTCTGGTCTCCCCTTGCTCCCCCGGCCTCCCATCCCTGTGCTAGGAGAATGGCCACTGTCTGCTCCCCCAGAGAAATTTCGGCCGCTGGAGGGCAGGCCGCGGCGACCCAGTGACGCCCACCAGCCAGCCGCGCCCTGCACGAGGTGCCCCATGATGGAGCTCATGCAGCTGGCCAGACAGGTGGGGAGGAGGGGCCTTCCTGGCAGGGCCTCAGCTCTGCAGGACACGATCCATGTGCAGGTGTGGATAGGCCCGTGTTGGGCTGGAGCTCCCGGTACTGAGCAGGGGGGGTGGCTGGACCATGAATTCAGAATCGGAAGGGGCTCAGCCAAGGGACCAGGACAACCCAAATGGCACGCTACTCCAGGAGGCCACAGACCCGAGCTCTGGTTTGTGTCTGACTTCCAACACACTGTGACATTGGCCAGCTCCCTCCCCCTCTGCGGGCCTCAGTTTACCCATCTGTAAAGTGATGGGGTCAGGGCCCCCTTCACACTCTGCTGTGCTGTCTCACTCCCTGGATGACCCCTCCTCCTCCTCGCCCCCCTAACTCCTTCGGTCTTTTGGACTCCTCTCTGGTGGGACATCCTCTGGCCCTATGCTTTCTCCAGCTCCCCGCCCCCACACATGTGCAGTCACTTGTGGTCCCCTGGGAGCACCAGGTGGGGACGCTGTCTCTGTGGCCGTGGTGGCAGCGAGCAGGGCACGTGCAGAGTCAGTCAGCCTCCCTCTGGCTCCTCCGTGAGCCGCAGGAAAGCAGTGGGTTTTAGTGCCCACCTGTTACTGGACCTCTCCCTCCATCTGTCAGGCATCCACGCTGGAGAAGGTGCCCACTGCGCGTCCGAAACCAGCTTTCACTGCTCGCTGACGTGTAAAGTGTCCTGATGAGTGATGGGTGCCTTGCACGCCTTCTCACACTTCATTTTAGCACCTCCCATTCGGGCCAGATATGGCACGCCATAAGGGAATGTAAAATCAATCATAATTCATGGTCTTCTAAAGATTCCGCATTCGCTGTGGCATTTTGATGTTAATAGTGAAAAATAGAGTGCTTTTTGTATTTTTTTTATTACCTTCCTTTCCAGTGAGCAAAGCTTGTGTATTTCAAATATTGGCCGTACGTGCTGCACCATCAAATTCCTTGAAGCTACAATTTTTTCCCCTGCCTACAACTTTTTTTTTTTTTTTTTTTTTTTTTTTTTTTTTTGCTACCTCAGAAAATAGATTTCTTTCTTTCACTTTTAATTTTGAAATCCGTTCCATTCGTCGAATGTTTACCGAATGGCCAGGTATGGAGCTGGATGCCATTCACATAAAAACAATCCTGCTTTCCACAGCAGGCGTTTCCCCGGAAGTAGGGCGCTCTGATCTATCCAGGGATCTCAGTGGTGCAGAACCACATAGTGTGGAGCCTAGAGAGGGATCGCCTGGCACCATTGACCGGATCGCCACCCGATGGACACTAAGCTGTGTCCCAGCCAACCACGCCCAAACCAAGAGGCAGCGTTGCTGTGGTGGGCCTCTGGCTGTGTCCCCTAATTCAGCCCTCCCTCTCCACCAATGGCCAAGGTTCCTCCTCATTCAGCGGAGTCCTCCGTTCGATGGGTATGAAGTACCCACTGTGTGCCAGATGCAGTTCTGTGAATCAGAAGGGGCTGTGACATCTAGGTAGCCACTGTGCGTGCCCGGAGGAACCACGGGTTAGTGGGGCAGAGAGGCCCTCCAGGTAGAGGGACCCGAATTCTGGGAGAAAGGGGAGGCCGTCAGCCTCTCTCAGGGCCCAGAGGTGACTCCTACGCTGATCTGGAGAATCCGCATTGATTCTGTTGTAGAGTTTTTGGCTCTGATGGGAAGAAGGAAGGGAGATAAAGTCTGTTTCTTCCTGCTTTTGTCAGACGCTCTCTTTAGCGTTTGTATAGAATTGCGACTATTCCTTACAACTACATGTGAGGAAAGAAGGTGGATCTCATTTAAAATCTAAGGAAACTGAGCTCAGAGTTTAATTAGCTCTGTGGAGAATGGGATGAGCCGGAACCGCAGCCTCAGAGTAAGCGAGGCCCCAGGGCGGCTGGCATCCCGAAGATGCTTTTGGTGCCTCTTTTTCAGGATGAAAAATTCCACCTGCTGGAATGTTTTAGAATAAATAGACACATTCCTGACATCATAGGTGGTGGCTCCCCTATCCGGGCAGCCGTTTAGGAAAAACGGAAGTCTTTGTCTCGTCTGGTCGGTGTTTGCAAAGGCAGTGTTGCATGGGGTGGCAGTGAGGACGGACAGATGTCCCCTGAACTGGTAGCCAGGAGCGGGGCTGACCCCACAGAGGACTGGGGATGCTGTGGGCCTTGGCCTCTACACAGAAATCTGCTGCGGTAGGTAGTCGTTATGGCTTTGCCCCGGGTGGACCCATCCTGAGGGGAGGACTCTCAAATTATGAACAACCCCCCCCCAAAACAAATCACTCAAGTAGGGTGATTGCTGTGCTAATTCATGCAAGGAATCTTCACGCATCTTCAGATCCCATCCAACTCCGTCAAGCTGTACCAATGGGAACTAGATGGTTATTGAGAAGAACGACTTCCCACTCCTTTATTAATGATAATTAGACTAATTGGTTATGTTTGCGTCATCATCGCAATTACCGCGCACGTTAATTAGCTGCTTAATCACCATCGTATTCGAAGGCTCAAATGTTGTTTCATTAATAATAATTAGGCGGATCGGTGCGTTTTATCAGTAGTTGCTCCTTAGTCGCTCTCGTTGGTAACAATTAAAACAGTCATCATTGTGTTGTTCGCATTTAAGTCTTTTGGCTGACTTGTTACTCTCAGGAACAATTAGATTAACTGGTTATTTGTATATTTTTATTAATGACAAAAGGAGAAGAGCGTGAAGAGAAGAGAGTGCCTGGGAAGCCCCCAGTGTGCCGGGCTAGCTCGCGCACCCTCGTTCGTGTACGCGGCAGGTGGCGGGGCAGGGAGGGGCCGGGGTGCTTGCAGCCTTTCTGCTACAGCCGTGGAGACTGAGGCACTGAGGCGAAGTGTGTTGCCTTAGGCCACTGAGGGAGTGTGAGGCAACCTAGCATTCGGCCCGGCCCATCCTAGACCAAAACCCTATTTTTTAATCTCTGTATACCATCATGGCTACCATTAGTAAAGGTATGAATAGTCAGAGAGTTTCAGTTTAAAATAACGTAACTTATGGTCTTTAATTCAAATGCTGAAATAGCAGACAGGAGGAGCCCCCGGGTGGCTCAGTCGGTTGAGCCTCCGACTCTTGGATTTCAGCTCAGGTCATGATCTCACGGTTCGTAGGTTTGAGCCCTGTATCGGGCTCTGCACTGAGCCTGAGCCTGCTTGGGATCCTCTCTCTCCCTCTCTCTCTGCCCTTCCTCCGCTAGTGTGCATGCTCTCGCTCTCAAAATAAATAAATACAACATTTTTAAAAAGTTTTAAAATATTTATTTATTTTTGAGAGACAGAGACAGAGTGTGAGTGGGGGAGGGGCAGGGAGAGAGGGAGACACAGAATCGGAAGCGGGCTCCAGGCTCCGAGCCGTCAGCGCAGAGCCCGATGCGGGGCTCGAACCCACGAACCGCGAGATCGTGACCTGAGCCGAAGGCAGACGCTCAACCAACCGGGCCACCCAGGCGCTCCAGTAAACACTAAAACAAATAGACAGGAAGTTCTGCCCTTGGTCAGAAACCCTGTGCAGGTCTAAGACACCTCCCATGGTTTCCCGAAGAAGGGACATGAGTAGTGGTTTTCCAAGCGGCCCTTCCTGAGTCACCGTCAGGTCGACTTCCTCACGTGACTCCCCGTCTCCTGAGTTCATGCGCGTCCGCGTTCTTCTCGACTCGCCACCGGCCCAGCTCCTGTCTGGGCCAGGGCTGCCTGACAGCTGGCCAGGGAGAGGTCAGTTCCACCTCCCAGATGATGGCTCCCCTTCCGGTTTCTGGCAGCTCACACCTTGTTCTCCTGCAGTCCGGCTGCTGGGTCTGGGCCTGCCTGTTGCCTCCTCATCTTTCCATGTCCTGAAAGAACCGGAGGGTCCCATCCGCTGCCTCTCGCGGGATCTCATGCAGGGCCCCGGTTCTGCCCACCCTCCGGGCACAGACCATGCACAGATCTCGGCTCCCCCACAAGACTCCCCTGGGTCCCTGCCGCACGGAGGCTCCACTGGGGTGCTGCCCGACCTCACACACCTAACGACCTCCTAAAGAACTACCGAGGCCGCCTTCTCCTCCGCTGTGCTCCTCCCCAGTGCTCCTCATCTGGGCAGTGGCGCCACACCTACCCGCCTGTGTCGGGCAAGCACAGTCGGGTCCTCGACCTACCTTGTCCCGTCACACACCCTGTTGTTAAATCTCGCCCACTCTGCCTTCAAAACATACCCCGAGTCAGACCAGTCCTTGCTGTCTCCACGGCTAAAGCCCAGGTGGGGACCACTGCCACGCCTCACCCCTGTTCTCCCCGAGGGGCCCTGCCACCATCTGACTAGCCCTTCACACTGACTCAGACTTTTGTACCGGGGCTGGTGCCCAGGCAGGAGGCCAAGATAGTAATAAAACTCCCAGCCATGGGGTGGCGCTGGGCTCCTGGTCTTGCCTTACCTTGTTTGATCTTGAGCAGTGTAGGCCTCAGGATCCCACCTTAGAGACCAAGGTGCTGGACCTTCATAAAGAAAGGAACTTGCCGTATGGCTGGGAGCTAGCAGGTGTGGGTTCCATTTGCTTCCTCAAGGACTAACAGGACCCCAAGTGCAGGGACTTGAAATAGACGGGGACCATGGGGCCATATATATTAAGGTAGGAATGGCCATCCCTGGCCTATGCCCAGGTCCTCCCCAGGCCCGGCTCCTGCCCCACTGACCCTGTGGCTCGCCAGAGGCTGTATCCAAAACCATCTCAGTTTCCGCCACAATGGACGTCTGCTCTGCGTGAGGTGTCTGGGCCCCTGCAGGAGGCTGATCGCAGCCCTTCCAGAATGTGGACATTAGAGCCAAGGCCAGGCGGCAGCTCTGAGAAGAGCCGCGTGTCCCTGCATGGCTGTTGAAGGCATGGTGAGGCCCTCCGAGCAGCGTCCATGGGGCACCAGCGGCTGGCTGGCTGGCATTCCGTCCTGACTGCTGTCCCCTCTCCCCACCACGTGTTTCTCATCTGTACACACAAGATGCTCCTTGTCAGTGAGAGGAGGCTTGTCAGTGAGAGGAGGCTGGGGCCAGTGGCCCACCCACTCCCCTGCTGGAAATGGGTCCCCAGACCCTCTGTCAGCCATGCCCACTGCTTCCAGCTTCTCTGTCTCTCTAAGTGGCTGCTATAGAGTTTAATTACTGTGTAGGATTTTGCTCTTTAACCTGAGTGTGCAACCTCAAACAGGTTGTTATTAAGCCCCTACTGTGTGCACAGCAGTGAACCAGGTGCTGTGGGTCCCTACAAAGGAGGTGGAACAGACCCAGTTGAGCCTGTATGGAAAGTTCTGGTCCCACTTAACGCACACACAGTCTTTCAGGAGAACACCATCCAAGGGGGGTGACTGGGGTTGGAACCGAGGGCTCAGACCCGCATCCCCAAGCTGTGCAGACACTTTGCAGGGGTGGGTACAGGGAGGAGGGATGACGGAACCAGGGTCCTCGCGTCTGAATGCCGGCTTTGTCTCCTGTCACTTTCCCTCCCAAGGTCCTGTTCTTCCTGTATAAAGTACGGTGGAACAGACCCACTTCGTAGGATTCCTGGAGGACGGAAACGAGATACATTGTGTAAAGTGCAGGGCAGAGGGAACACCGAGCGGGAGTGGCCCCTCCCTAGGCCCTTCTTCCACTTCCGTGTTTTCTCTTTCTCCTCCTATGGATCCCTGCTTCTCTCCTTGTGCTTCTGGTATTTTCACCATTACGGTGAACATGGAGTGTGATTCCCAGACATGGCAGCTCTTCAGGGTTACTGGGAGAGTGTTTCCAAAGTCACTGTCCCCTTGGGCTTGGCCCAGACCTGTCTCAGAGTCCAAACAAGGGGCCCGCATACTCTATTTATGACAAGCTTTCTGGGTGATTCTGCAGCAGCCGGCCTGTCAAGGATCCTCTGGAGATGATGGCTGTGTGGCTTTAGCGGGGGTGCTTACCCTCTCTGGGTCTCAGTTTTCATTATTGTCAAATAAGGAGGTTTAATTTCCAGTAGATGATCACGAACAATCCTCTTACTCCAACAGTCTGTGGGACGGCAGCATCCTGAGGGGTGTTTACAAGACACAAAGGAGGAAAGGGACACAGGGTCAGAGGAATGAGCTCGTCAGGAGGCCAGTTTTCTGGAACTTTCTGGAATGTTTGAAAGAGCACGAAATGCTCCAGGGGCCATCACTGTCCCTGGAGTGTAAGGAGGGAAGAAGACTAACATGTCCAGATTTCGAGCAGAGGCGGTGCTATGTGGGGTCAGGAGGGGCCTCAGAGAAGCTGTGTGCTGGTGGTGAGGGGGCGTGAGAACCCCAGAGGTCATGCTGAAGCAGGGTCACCTGGAACGTGCCTTCTGGAGGGTGGTCCTGGGACAGTCACCTGCAGGACTCTCGCTTGGCCAAGAGGCGAGCGGAGCTGAATTGGCTCAGCCGGGTGGTGGGTCTGAATGGCTGTAGGGGTGGGGCACGAGCCTTCTCGGTGCATTCCCCCGGCCCTCATCCTGCAGGGAGGACCCTGCCCAGGCCACCATCCCGCTCTGCCGGGCCCCTCAGTTGTGTCTGCTCCAAGCACACATCTCCCAACCAAAGTAGATGCCACCCGCAAAGACACACCACGACTGAGCAGGTACAGGGACAGCTAGGTGCCGATGCACCAAAAATTCCGTTTCTGTGCCCATTGCTGACTCGCGTGCGCCCCCAGTGGCAGGAAAGGGAACAGTCCACGGGAGCAGCAGCCCTTGCCATTTGTTAGTATTTATCGCCCTCTAGTGGCGGTATGGCATCATTCTCCCTGAATGCACAGGTCCCTCTTCTTAGTGCCCCTTAAATTCAGTAGACTTCTTCAAGCATTTATTGAGCACCTGCTGTATGCCACGTCCTGCAGTGGTCCCTGTGAGAGATGCAGAGGGAGCAAGAGGGGCCTCTGCCTCAGAGGGCATGTGAGTCCGATGGACACGGTTACACTGGCCTTGAGCATGGAGGAGGGAGCAATTAATCCAGGCTGGAGCCCTGGCTTGTGATTCTGTTCTGCTTGTGGAGCACTTCCCTCCCTGCGTCTGTTCCTGGCCACAGGTGTCCCAAGTGTAAGCGAGGGAATGGAGAATGGAAGCTGGAGAGTGGGTGTCCAGACTGGTCTGCAGAGAATTGTGGGGGGAGCTTTCATGAGTACCCGTTTGTGGCCCCACCCCAGACCTACGGAATCGGGGGGAGGGGCTGGGACAGGAGGCCCATGTCACCCACCGTTGGTGATTCCATGCTGACTGGTGCTCGGGAACCACCATCCTTCAAGATCTTCGGTAGTGGCTTGACCCACTGCATGTGTACGTAGAAGTGTGCAAGTGCGTTCATATGTTTATTTTAAATGCTCAAGTGTTTGAGATAGAATAGATAATATAATAGTTATATACCCATCGCCCCAAATATAACAGATGTCAACATTTTGCAAATTTTATATCAGACCTTTTCTTTTTTGCTTTTGTTCCTTGTTTGTTTGTTTGTTTGAAAACTAAAGCATTACTAAGACAGCTGGTCACTGTGTCCCCTTCCCTCCTCCCCTCTCAAAGGATATCATCACTAGGAGACTGCTCCATGCAAGATTGTCACCCACATTTTACTTTTTCTTTCCAGGGCCCTCCAGGACCACCTGGCGTCCCCGGTCCCCCTGGACCCGGAGGCCCCCCGGTAAGACTGGCTTTGATTTTCCCCTACAGGGGCGCTTAGGTACAGAGTTCATGGCCCATGGGAACTAGGAGCATCTTTATGTGTGGCCATCTGTTTGTCCTTCATCGGAGAGGAGAGCAAAGGCATAAACAAGGAGGACCCCAGCCTCTGGGCTTTCAGACCCTTAGATTAGTCTAGAAATATCTCTTGAGCTCTTGGAGCACATTGGTTGGCTGCTTCTAGAGAGAACACATGGATGGAGGTACGTTAGTGTGGCGGTGCCCATTCGGGTGCCTTTTACTAGTTCGTGATTTGGTGCTGAGGCAGCCAGAGGGCCGAGGTAGACACAAGTCAACACGCTCCCCACACACACTTGCTGTGCAGCAGGGAAAATGCCCCTGTAGGCAGAGGGTGGGGGTGGGGCCGGCCCAGCAACCAGCGAGGCCTTTCCACCCGTCCCACCTGCTAAGAGCCAATGTGGTGGCTTCTGACTGCAGGCCAGACACGGTGTGACGATTGTGTGTTTCACAGTGGCCGCACTAAGGACGCTCAGATGCCCTGAAGTCTATGCAGCCTTGTGCATCCTTGTCAGAGCCAGGCGCCTGGGGCCCGGCCAGGAGAGGCACTGGGGAAAGGCTCTGATGCTCCAGAGAGGCCAGACTAACCGTTCCCATGTGGTTCCCTTCTCAGGGTTTACCTGGAGAGATCGGCTTCCCAGGAAAACCTGGGCACCCCGGGCAGGCGGTGAGTTCCCCGGGGTCGTCCCCGCCCCCACGCTTCCCTGGATTCCATTGGTCTATGCTGGGATGGCTGGGTGCCTCCAGGTCGGCTGGCCAGTTGCTGCGCCCTTTCCTCCCCTGGCCCCTTCCTGCTGTGGTGCCTTCCACGAACTCAGTCTCCTGGGACTGCGGCCCCAGGGTCCCCCAGCCAGGGTGCAGATTGGGGCTCCCTCTCCCCAGGCCACCACCTTTCTTCTCATTACCTGGAGGCTCCTGAAGGCTGTTTAAAGTGACTTCTTGTCCCTAAGAGATACCTGCCGGGGGGGACATAAATAAAGACAGTGGCTGAACGCTTCCTGTCCTCATCCTGACTGCCCTTCCTCACTCCCAAACTCAGAAGATCCTGGGGATCTGGAGGCTCCCTCCTGTCTTTTAAGCCCCGAGGATGGGGCTCAGAAACCTTAACACCTTCACTTCCGTAACGGGTGTGCCATTAAAGCTGGGTGTATCTCCTAGTTCTGGCCCTGAGCTCCTCAGCGCCCAGTGGTAGGTGTGGCCTGTGAGCCTGTGACACCTTGTGATGGCACGATCATCCTCATAGACCCGTAGAGGACCCTCAGGGAGGCCTCAGCTCCACTGGAAGGGATTTCCTTACAAGTAGTTTTCTCTCTCTCCCTCGTGGGCCGGTGGGTGGGGAAGCCAGCAGAACCCACAGCCCTGGAAGGGATCTGGACACAGCCAAGGTGATGGAGCTGAATCAGACCGCGTAGCACCCGGCGGCAGTGCCCCTTGGACCTTTGGCAGGTCCGTCGGTGGCTGTGGATGGAGGTCCCCCAGGCAGCAGGGACCGTGATGGCTAGGATGTCCGCGTTCTCAGCTCTGCTGAATCCCCTAGGATGTGGGCCGTCCATGCAGGGGTGTGATGCACACTCGGGGGTGAACTGATCCACGCCTAGAACACCTGCTCCGTTGCAGCGTGACCGGCACACATTCACGAACACACAGTTAATGGCAGCGTCACCAGCAGACTTTTTCCTCAGGTGGCGGTGTCCCCTGAAAGCTCAAACACGTTAACAATCACACCTGATCTAATGGGCTCGTCAAAAAGTATGTGTGTTGGTGTGAACGTTCAGAGGAGGGGAGAGAGTCATAGGCAGAGGAAAAAGTATTTGAAGGCAGGGAGGGTGTCGAGGGGGGAGGTTATGGCCACTGAGAGTTTGGGGTGCTACTTCTGGATTCAGTGTTTGCTCGTCCATGAGCTCATACTTCCATGGAGGCCAGGTGACCTCCCCTCCTGCCCTTCCAAGGGCCTTGACTCCTGTGACCCCTGCTCTGGGGAGGCGGGGCTGCCCTCCCAATAGGCCGCCAGCCCAGACTAGAGACACCAGGAAATAAGAGAATCTTAATTTGGGTGTCAGGAGACCTCTTGGTGGAATAATGACCAGGTTTCCTAAAATAATAATCATTTTTGAATAGCACTTAGAGCTGCCAAAGTAATGACATGTAAAATGTCATCTTGAGGGGAAAGGATTTCCCTCTGTCATGGGGGTGTGTGTGTACCTGGTCCCGCCACTCAAGGCTCAAGGAAAATCAGAAGAGCAAACAACTCTTAAATAGCAGAAGGCGGAGCCAGGCAGCGGGGGGTTAAAAGCCCACGTGTCCCCATCACCCGGGCGGGGCCCAGAGTCCACCCCTCAGCCCTTGGGACTCTTTGTCCCCGTGCCTGTAACACCACCTGTCCTGTCGGACAGGCTGGGGGAGGAGGCAGCCTGTAGGGAGGAGAGGACACAGAGCCCCTCAGTGTGGCCCTTAGAAAGCATAAGGCAGACTTGGTGAATGCCAGGCCAAGAGACTGGGAAGGGGGGACATGTTGGTGGAGATTTCCCAGAGAGAGAGAAGCAGAAAGCAGAGGTAGTGAAGGACCGTCGGCTCCCTCTCGCCCACCACGCACGTCCAGAGTGGCCGGACCCCAGATGCTGGCCAGAGGGTGAGGGCTGTCTCCCTCATCAGGCGTGTGTAGGCCAGCCTGGCCCCACAGAGACGGCGGCACACTGACAAGAGAGCCCCCCTGAGGAGGTGGGGTGGCCCCCAGCGGCTGGCCAAAAGCCACTCGGTGCAGTCTCCCTAAACATGTGTCTTATTTTGCTCTGCTTTTTCTCTCTTGACCAGGGCCCACCTGGAAAGGACGGGCAGAATGGAGCCCCAGGCCTACCGGGACCCAAGGTTGGTGTGCTCGGGGGTGGCCGGAGTTTGGGGCCCAAAACGCAGGAGGAAAGGGATGTTGGATTGCTGGTAAATTCTAAAATACACCGATGGCTTGGGGCCTGGATCAGGACTCGGGAATGTTGGGGTTCACCAGGTCAGACGTGGGAAAGTCCTTCACTTCTGCTTAGGTGACTGAGCCAGACAGAAGCATGTGGAAGCCTCGGGCTTTCCCACGGACGTGTTCGGAATATGTCTGTATTTGCGGGGAGGGACAAGGTTCGGATACTCATAACCTAAGAGACTTTAATTTTAAAAATATTCTGGTGCGGCTCATCATGGTAGCAACATTAGGAAAAGAGTCAGAGGTTAATATCATAAAGTTGGGAAGCAAGTCCCTCGTTCGCACGCTGCAGGTGCGGTGCAGGTGAACAGTTACAAGAGCACAGCGTGAATATTTGCACCAGCGAATTTGATACCTTCCCACCAAACACACGTAGGCTCAGCACGTATGCCCGTAACCATCCGCGAAATGCGGCCTTTCGATATTACGGGCGCATCCTTCATCCTTTTCAATAAGTACCTTCCAACCTCCACTTTTTCCTGACCAAATACAGAATAAGCATGCATATAACTTCATTCCATGGGTATTTAACGTAAATATTCTCCGTCTTTCTCCCTTGGTTTTCACGACGGAGGAAAGGGCTAACCGATGATCTTGCAGTCTCAGAATCGCTCATGTGACCTCTTCCGTGCTCCCAAGTCTCTCAGTGAGATAAAAGCACAGTTTTCTACCCAGTTATGTTTCTGTAAAAACAAACCCAAAGCAGAGGCCTGGAATGTGGAATCTGAGAGGTTATACAGCTGCCACCCCGGTACGAGTGGTTCTCCTCCTGAACCAGACGGTGACTAGCACTGAGTGTGTCCCCCGAGCCTGGCCCTCTCCTGCCAACCTCTCTCTTCATTCCCTACAGGGGCAGCCAGGAGAGAGAGGGGAAGACGGTCTGCCTGGAAAACCCGGCCCCAGGGTATGGACCCTGCCTCCTCCCCGCCAGTGGGCTCTTCGGAATGGGGTGTTTAGGCTGTGTGTGAACCACAGTTGACGGTGTGAGTGGTCTGGCAGTTGGGGTCTGGTGGCCCCCAGGGCTCGGGCCCCACAGGGACAGACACAGGCAGCGGGAATGACCACACCACACCTAGGACAGAGGGAGGAGGGCCAAGCGGGTTCCTAGGGGGACCTGTAGCTGAGGGGTCTCAAGGAGAGCTGTGGCCTTAAGAAGAACTCATCACTGTCCAGCTCACCTGGCAGTGAGGAACAAGAGGGGCTTCTCTCTGTCTGCTGTCTGTCTCCCTCCCCCCTTCCCCTCCTCCCGGGGCTCTGGTGTCCCTCCAGAGCTCCCTAAAGCCTGGCCCCTACTCCTGGCTGATGCGGTCTGTGGCATCCAGTCCCCACCTCCCACCCTCACCCCCTGCTTCATGGTTCCTGCATGTCGGGGTCTGTGGGGGAGGCAGAGGCCACTTCCCGTGTCTTTGGACAGGGCACCTCCTGTGGGAATGGGGACTCCAGGTGCTGCGTTTGGATGGCTGGCCCTTGGAGCCTCACGTCTTGGGCTAGAGTCTCCTTTTGTCTCGAGGACCAAAGCTCAGCATCTCAGATTTGGCCTGGGCTCTGAATGCAGTGAGCACAGACCATGTGGCGTGTGTGTGTGTGTGTGTGAGAGAGAGAGAGAGAGAGAGAGAGATGTGTCGGTGTGTGTATGTGGGTGCATGTGTGTTGTGCAGGTGCAGGTACTTTGGCTCTAGGGGAGTCTGTAGAGACAAGAGATTGCCCCGGGCACTGCCTCTGCCCCTCCCACCTGCACTTCGCTGGGCTATGAGCTAGTCGAGGGCAGCAACCGTGACTGGGTCTTTGTCCCCTCTGCTCGCCCGTTCCCAGCCAGGGTCAGGCGTTTGGCAGGTGCTCAGTAAGGGTTTTCTGCATGGAGGATGGAGGTCACCTCAGCCCAGCAAGAGCACAGGAGTGGCCCGACTCTACAGCTGCCCTCTGGAAGGCAGGACCCCGGTCACCCTGCTGGCCGGGGAAGGTGTTCTTGGGCCAGATGCGGGGCCCCTGGCGTTGCTTTGTTTTTTCATAAAGTGGCCGTTCTCTAGAAGACGGAAAGTAACCAGAGGAGAAAAAGCAGGTTAGAAAGCACCTGGCTACGTCAAGCATACCCACGTGCTCAGATGTGGACAGAACCTCCCGAGGTCCACCAGGAAACCTCCTGTTGTCTGGGCTCCAGACTCCAAGGACTCCACCCTCATGCCCCCGTGAGCTGTCCTGTTACTACTCACAAGACGGTGCTCCTTCGTACTTTAAGAAGCAACATCTGCATTTAAACAATGTGCTTGCAACAAAAGCTTCACGTTTGGGATTCCCCAAATCCCTGAAATATCATAAGTCATCTGCTGCGTTGTGTCCATGCACACCCCGAGGTGGCTGTGTGGGGCGAATGTCATGGTCTCAAAAACACCTTTCAGTGTTTGGCTGAAATTCTACCCTTTTCCAGAAAGTACTTAAAATGCTTGTGCAGGTTTGCTGGCTTGACCTGGCAGATCGTGTGCTGTGAACCATACTTCAGTGTTGTGTTTTCCCAACTTTGTAAATCGATGAGCCCTCCGGGGCTTACACGTGTGAATTCCCACACTCTGCCCACTGGGCTTCGGATGCAGTCTCTCCCCTGTGCACGCGGGTCCCCAGAAGGTGGCCATCGATCACATCACGGGAAGTGCTGGGATGAGCTCAGAGAGGCGCCCTCAGGGACTTCTGTGGTCTCTCCGCCTGTGTGTTTTCGGTTTCTCGTGGTCACTAACTGGAAGATTCAAACAGCCAGGCCTACTGCGCCAGCTCACGTGTTGGTTTTGCACGCTTTCTAGTGCAAAGTGTTTGAAACACTTCTCTGGGAAGTTCAAAACTATGAATGTGTGCAGTTTTTGTACTTTCTACAACGTCCTGGGTAGCCTCAGAGAGGATCTGGCCTGGGGTCTTGTTAACTTTATTTTGGTAAAATGCCAACCAAAGATTAAAATCTTCCGAGGAGATTACGGATAAGTGGTGGATGGCGGGCTCATGCGTCTGTCAGGAGACGGCCCTGGCTTGCAGGATCCACCTTTCGGGTTCACGTCAAGAATTCAAGATGCTGCCCAGTCCTCCGTCCGTTGTGCCTTTGACTTCGAGCTCACGGCACGGATTCAGGAAGCACTTCCAAAACCCTTGAAGACGTCTTGTAAGCAAACCCAGACCCTCAGTGCCTTCCTCAGCATGTGAGAAGCAATTCCCACAGCAAGGATGTTGCCGTCCTGGTAGATTTAAAGTGCACGTTTTAGTGGCAGGTGTTTGCACAATCTCGGGCAGCGTGGTTCTCGCTGATGGTGCCTGTAAACACCGGGAAGTCGGGGGATGGGAGCGTGGGGAGAGTTTCTCCGTGCCGACTCTAGTGTGAGTTCTAGTGAGGCACCAGGCCTTCCGCATCAGATATTGCTGTGTTGTTTAATGCTGAACAGTGTTTTGGGTTACTTTTTTCTTTTTCTTACCTTCTTCTCTGAGATGAGGGGATGGTGGAGGTCCTGCCTACCAGCTGAGTCTGGCGTAGCTGCAGAGGAGACCATGATGGGCACGGAAATCCACTCATTCATTCATTCATTCATGTGCCCGTTCACTTATCAGAAAACCACATTTCCTTATGGAAATCTACGCCGATAGCGTAATGGGTGTCAGAAATTGTCCAGAGTGGTTCTCAAGACGCATTGTTGGTTAGAAATTACAGTCCCTCCCCACCAGCACACACACGCACAGATTTGAGTCAGTGATTTATAGGGAAACACAGCAGCTGGATGTGTTGGGATCAGGGAACAGTCCCCTCTGGGCCTGTGGCTCCTTCTTCAACCCACCGCAAAATGCTAATTAGGAACCTAATGGCTGAGGACTAAACGTCATCCCATCTGCTGGAACCAGTGTGTAACTGTTTGGGGGTTTGCTTTCTGGTTTACCAGAATTTCACCCAAGACTTGGTTTTATTGTAACTGAGCATGGGAGCTAGCAAAGAAAGCTCTGACCCACCTCCAACCCTGGGGCTGCCTGTCTGGACGGCATCCATAAGACAGTGGTGAGCATGGACGTGTTCATCAACGGCTTCTCCCTCATCGCTGGACCCAGCGTGGGGCCTGGGCTCCCCTTCAGTTAGCACAGCTCAGAGCCGGACGGACCTGTGAATCCCTGATTTTGGCCCCTCATTGTTCTGAATTGTAGGCTTTTCGATTCAGGATGAATGGGTTCACCTGCGTAAACTCTGTCGGGGCGATCCGAGATTCTAGCCGGGGTTCTCTCTGGGGGAAGTGAAAGATGTTATGAGGGCGTGTGGAAGGCCTCCCTCCAGAGAGGCCGGGCGCTTGGGTTTCCACAGCCTGCGCAGCTGCATAGAGCGCGGGCCGTAACCCTGCTATGCGTGTGCCAGAGAATCCAGAGATGCTGCTGTGAACATGTGGGGCCAGCGGGGGAATGACCACCATCTCTGCAAATGTCTGTGGGATGTGACGGCATGTCTGTTATTCTGTCTCCAGGGTGAAGTTGGGGAGCAGGGCCTGGCAGGCCGACCTGGAGACAAGGTCTGTTTTTTCTTTCTTTCTTTCTTTCTTTCTTTCTTTCTTTCTTTCTTTCTTTCTTTCTTTCTTTCTCTTCCTTTCTCCTTCCTTCATTCCTTCCTTCCCTTCCTTTCTTTCTTTCTCTTTCTTTTTTTCTTTCTTCCTTCTTTCCTTCCTTCCTTTCCTTCCCTTTCCTTCCCTTCCTCCTTCCTTCCTTCCTTTCTTTCTTTTTTCTTCCTTCCTTCCTTCCTTCCCTTCCCTTCCTTTCTTCCCTTCCTTTTCTTTCTTTCTTTCTTTTCTTTCTTTCTTTTCTTTCTTTCTTTCTTTCTTTCTTTCTTTCTTTCTTCTTTCCTTTCGTTTTTCACTTTCTTCCTTTTCTTCCCTTCCTTCCCTTTCTTTCTTTCTTTCTTTCTTTCTTTCTTTCTTTCTTTCTTTCTTTTTCCTTCTCTTTCTTTTCTTCTCTTTCTTCCCTTCTTTCTTTCTCATTCATTGATTCATTCATTCCATTCTTCAGTCAATGCATTCTCTCATTGTGATGCCCTAAGCCTGTATCAGTTCCCTCTGGGGGCTCACTTCCTTCATCTCACGCATTCATTTATTTACCCAATGATTATCAGCATGTCCTATGCATCCATCACTGTGTTGGGCTCACAGCCATCAACCAAGAGCAATGACCAGGTGCAGTGAGTGGTGATATGCAGGTGTGGGTGGGAGGGCAGGAGGGAGGCCCCTCACTCACACTTGGGGAATGTCAGGAAAGATGACAAGGAGGTGTCATTGTGTCAGAGTCCTAAAGGACAAGGAGGAGGAGGAAACACCCAGACAGGTGTAATGGGTTCCTGGTGATGAAATGGGCTGAAGTGAGAAAAAGCTTGGAGACACCCCAGCGAGCAGATTCTCTAGAACCATTCTGCTCTCCGTGTCGTCCCCACTGAGCCACAGTCTTTGGGGACAGGAGAGCAGCGAGGGGAGAGCACCATCTCGTGCATGGCGTGGCGCACAGGGGAGCCTCAGTGAGCATTGAGTGGACAGAGGTGCCATGTTTTTTCCACAGGGAGAGGCAGGTGTCCCTGGTGCTCCAGGATTTCCAGGCGTGCGGGGACAGAAAGGAGAGCAGGTAAGTGACGAACCTCTCCTATGCCCCTGCAAAGCCGCCCCCTCTGGAGTTCAGTCCCTGGAGCAGTGGGTGGTCTTGGCTGGGGCTTGGGGGTGTTTCCCCAGGTTTATGGAAGAGAGAAGGTAGGGGACCAAGCTTCTCTGGTGTGTCACCTGTGGCAAAGGGACAGGGACTGAGAGATCTATCCGCAAAGGGTGGACCATCTTCAGATGGAATTGATGGGAACAGGGTGGGACGTCATGACAGGTGCCTCGCCCCTAATGACAGCCAGCCGCCCAAGTTGGGCCTCACCTTGGCGTTTACTGATAAGGCAAGAGTGGGTCAAGAAAAAAGGGATTTTGCCCAAGGTCCGCTTGCTCTTATGGGGAAAAGGCAGGTGCTGAGATCTGGTGTTTCCCAGTTTCATCTTTCACCGCAGGGCGAGAAAGGGGAGCTGGGCCTCCCAGGCCTGAAAGGTGACCCAGGCAAAAAGGTAGGAGCTGCTGCTGGCCGCCTGGTCCTCAGTGACCCGAGTCGCCCAGCCTTCCTCGTGAGCATGTGTGTGGTGCCTGTCGTGTGGTGGAGAGGGCGCGCGTCTCCGAGACAAAGCAGGGTCTGGCTTGCAACCTGGTGGCGCCTTGTCTGACCTCTCTGTGCCTCGGCGTGCTGGCCGGACACGCTCCGCTGACCCTTCCTCGGAGGGCTGCTGGGAAGCGTGACTCCTGTCTTGTGTGTGAAGTGAGGTGCCGTGGACTCGATCTGGACAACCCGACGGGGGTCGTGTTACCAACAGCCGCCCAGATGAGGAAGCTGAGGCACTGCAAAGTGGCCACATCACTCTCCCAGGGGTGCGCGAACAGAGCATGTTGCTGTCAATCCCCAAGCCCCGGCAGCCGGTCGGATCAGCGTCCTGGCTCCTTGCAGGGCAGAGCCTCTGGACGGCCTGGCCCGTGGGCGCCTGAGCGACACCCACGGGGGCTTGTGTCCCCCCTTCTCCCGCACAGTGGTCCCCCCCCCCACCGTGTCCCCTCCTGTTTCCTGTTCTCAGTCCGCCTGTCCTTTCTTGGCTCCCAGAGGGGCCTCCCACCCGCTTCCCTCTTGGGCTGGAGGCTGAGAGCTGTACTCCAAACAGACCCGTCTAGAAACGGGCAGGGCGTCGCGCTCTCAGTTTTTCCAGAATCGCAGTTTTCATTTGCAAAACTCATTTCCAGGATGCAAAGGACTCAGTGAGACCATAAAGCTCCTTTTATTGCTTTCGCAGAACAGTCAGGCCCGTGGCAGAATCACATTCACGCGTCCAGAAAATCCGGCCCCTCTTTTTCTCCAGAGAAATAGGTGGTGATGATAATTCTGGTCGAAAATCCAAAACAAGACATTAAAGCGACACTGTCCCCGTCCGACTGTTTCTTGCACGTCACTGCCTCTGCTTGCCAGTCCGTTCCTGGCCACCATCCACGACGCACGTTTAAACCCCACGGCATCTGGAAAGTGGGTACAATCATCTCCTTTCTCAGCAAGGGCTGCTGAGGGCTTCACGTTTTCCTGCAGGAGCCGGGACTGGAACCCACCCGTCTAGTTAACTCCGGTGCTCAGGTCTTTCTGCAGCCACGAAGAGGGGCCACGGGGGTCTTCCCTGGCCACCTGCTGTTCCTTCCTCCTCACCTTCCCCCCCCCCCCCCCCCCCCCCCCCCGCCAGCGCTGGGGAGGGGCTGGCTGTACCCGAAAGGCAGTCTTTAGGTCCCCTGGGTTGGAGACACGTTTCTCCTCCAGTCCTCTCCTCAATAATACACACCCACACATTCCCTAGTGTCGACGTAAAACGAACAAACCATTTTTTAAAATTTTAAAGAGAACGGAAAACAGTTTTATTCAAGCCCAAGTTAGGACAGTGGCCTAGACACATGATCTTCATTCACCAAGAAGAGAGCCCTCTAGGGGACAGACGTGCTGCAGGGTTATAGATGACTTTACAAAAAGGGTTACAAGTTGTCACGACAAAGGATGTTCCAGGGAGTTACAGACTTTCTCTTATGGTTTTAGTATGTGCAAAGCTGTATTACTTTAATCTTACCGGAACCAGGGGGGGGTTATTGTTTTTCCTATCTTTATCTTTGGAATGCTTTTTTCTGGTTATTGTTATTTTTTAACAAAGCATATGTATAATATGTGCTGGGGCAGAAATAGAGCCCGTGCTCTGAAGGTATTCTGAGTCATTTTCATGTTGGTAAATGTTAAAGTGTAGCTTCCCTGGGAGCCCGGGGCCCACACAAATGAAACATTGAAAATTTCCTTTATCACTGGGAAACACTCAACTTCTGATTATTTGGACTTTTTCATTTGGAGTATACTGGGTTAAATGAGATTGCTTCTGGAGCATCAGGAAGTCAGTGTCAGGAGAATAACTGGGTCAAATCATGTAATGCAAATAGCACCAAGAAAGTGTTTTTCTTTAAAAACAAAACAAAACAAATTCTGGAACTTCAGCGAAGGCAATGCTGCTTGGGTTCTGAGCTTAAAACCAGGCTCAGCCATGTGCTGGGTATGACTTCAAGCAGGTGCATGAATGTTATGTGTCATTATCCTTATTTATGAATGAAATGGGCATACCAAAGTGTCTGCATTATAGGCATTTCTATGGAGATTAAATGAGTTAAGGGGTGCCTGGGTGGCTCAGTCGTTAAGCGTCTGACTTCGGCTCAGGTCATGATCTCATGGCTCGTGGGTTCGAGCCCCACATCAGGCTCTGTGCTGACAGCTCGGAGCCTGGAGCCTGCTTCAGATTCTGTGTCTCCCTCTCTCTCTGCCCCTCCCCATCTTGTTCTCTCTCTCTCTCTCTCTCTCTCTCTCTCTCTCCATCTGTCTCAAAACATAAATAAACATTAAAAAA